CACCAACTACTACTGATCTGAATTACCGTCAGCCACTGCCGATCTGAATCACTGCCCACCATCACCAATCTGATCCATCACCGATCTGAACCACCGTCGATCCGAACCACATCCGACCACCGCCACCTGAAGCACCAGGGACCACCATTGATCTGAACCACTACCGACCACCGGCGACTACCATCGATCTGAATCACCGCCGACCACCAACAATTTGAACAACCACCAATCTGAACCACCGCCGCCACCCCTGAATTGAATTATAAGTCATAACAGCTTCCGACTCTTTAATGAATTGTAGTTTCTCATCCTCTTGAATTTCGGGTAACGGTACGGTCATTTCAGAACTAACTAAACACTTTCTCATAGTAGACTCGTGAAAAGTGTTATGAACACCACTCAATTCTTCTAAAGATCTAGCCTGTAGGCTACCTCACCAATCCAATCACTGATCACGAAAGGGTCGATATACCTCGAATTTATCTTTCCTTTTTCTTTCAAAACGAACGATACCGTTCCAGGGTGATACTCTCAATATCACATTGTCCCCAACCTGAAACTCTATCGGTTTATGGCGTTTATCGGTTTATTTTCGATGAGAAGCACCAAATCAATTTCTTTTTGAAACGCAATTCATGAGTTGTTTTGAGATTAAATGTGATGAAAGGTCAAAATTTCCTTTCTTAGCTTAATTTTGGCGGACATTTACAAACATAAAAGTGGATGAAGTGGATGACACACACACCCACACACACATATTGATAATCAAATAAGAACCATAAAATTGTTATAAACCTGTGAGAACCATATATATATATATATATATATATATATATATATATAGGGGTAGGTTTCAAGCGAGAAGACGATCAATTTGCGAGAAGGTGAGAAACAATATACACCACGTAATCTATTAATTAATAGAATACCATAAATAAAAAATGGAAAACAATTTAAAAAATTGGGATAATTACCATTTTGAGTTGGATAAATTATTCTGCTAAAGATATAATTGTAACAAAAACACTATTTTAAATCCCTTACAGATCTCATTATATCTTTTAGATTTATTTATTTTTTAATTTTGATTAATTCATATCTTTTTATCAAATTTTTATGTAATTTTCTTCTAGATACGCTTTTAATTATAAAAATTCATAATTTTCATCATACATCACAAATGATATCCACAAAAATCAATTCATTTCCTTTTTCACTACATTTTCTCCATTTTTACGATCCACATTTTGAATCACATGTGATTAGTTTCGTTCAACATATGATCTATTACATGTTACATATTATCCATTATGTGAATTTTTATACATATCACATATGATAATATACGTCTGAATATGAATGACATATTATCACATGTGATACATTTGCATCACAAATTTTTTATAAATGTATATATACATAATCACATATGATTAACAAAAATATCTATTTTTATTAAATATGATTAATACAATCATTGAACAAATTATCATATGTGATAAAAACTTATAATCAAGTTGTTACAGATTTATCTTTGTAATGAAACGGTTTATTAGAAATTAGTTTAGAAAATAAACTCAATGCTGATTTATTACGGACTATCACCATGGGCATCTCCCCTCTATGTGAACATGAATCGCGCATGATACGTGAATTGATCCGATGTATCTCATCCTAATGTGTGTCCAAGGTGAAGAACCTTTCTTACTCTTCTCATCTTAACCCTCATTCTCACCGGAACCCAACCACACACACACATATATATATATATATACATATATATATATTCACACATACACACACACACACACACACACACACATATATATATATATATGTGTGTGTGTGTGCTCATTCAAATGAGAACTGATTAGTTTGTGGTAATCGTGAGATCCAATGTGAACCACTCATTTGAGATTTTTAAGGCTGTTTCTTAAATAAGCCAAAAGTGTAATATAATAATTCTATTTTTGACAACTGATCAAAATATTTAATTAAAATTTTTAGCAGGAAATATTTAATTAAAAATTAGTTACCTAATATATCAATTACCTAATATACATCGTATTTTAAAGACGTTTGTGAATCAAAGTGTATCATAGTGATAACGTTCACAATGTTTCACGAGTATCACAATGTATTTTCTTTGTTTTATAAAATGTATCATAGTGTGTATTTTCGTTATTTTCATTGTTTTAGAAATGATATCACACTGTGCATCTTGTATGTATATTTGGGTATCATAGTGAATATCATTTGTAGGTATCACAATGTGTATCTTGTTTTCACATAAGGTTTGTCGAATCAGATTCGTCGGAGAGAAGAAAGAGAAAAGATGAGAGAAGATATCTATAAAATCCCTAAAAGCCCTTAATTAATATTTTAAGTTAAAATTACCAAAATTATTAGTTTTTCTAATTTAACCTTTGATTTGTGATTGAGATTGGATCTCACGCTTATCACAAACAAAACAGTTCTTATTTGATTAGGTATATATATATATATATATATATATATA